TCCAAATTGTCCTATCCTATCCGACTTCTGCAAACTATGAGTATACCATGAGCTTATCACTTGCTTAAGGACTCATAGCTACAGCATTTTAGCCACTGGCTCCTCCACTCACTTCCCACATCTCCAACGAAAAAGACCGTTGGCCATAGACTTGCGGCATCCAACACGTTCGCATACATATTGAATCCACGCAATCTCCTAAGAAAACCAAAGACAATCCCCCACAAAAATCCCTTAATTTCGGCAAATCAAAAAATTCCACCACCACCACCACTCTAAAAAATCCACCTTTCTCTTAAAATAGCCGCTTTCGAATAAACTACACCGCAAATAGACGCATACTGAATATGCTCATCATCAGAAGCTATTACAAATACAGCCACCTAGTCCTTGGTAACAATGAAGCCAAAAGACTCCACAGAAATTCCTCAAAACAACTTAGGAATGCACTGCAAGCTAACAAAGAAAGACGCCTTGGTAGTACTCTGTAAGCCATTGACCCTACAAACCGCTACATATGCAAAAGCTATGGAAATTCACCAAAGAAATTAAAAGACACCCAACTCCAAACCTACCCGTACATAGAAAATTAAACTGCAATCCAGCATAAATTATAAAATCACGTATTTCGACCAATCACCCTCCCAGAAATTTAATCACAAATTAAGGGATTGCTAAACAACAGGCCCCAGGACTCAATACAATCGATAACAATACCATATAAACACTATCATACTCCGCCCTAATATACTGTATATTAGTCTACTATAACTTACTACGACTTGGCCACTTTCCACAACAATGGAAAATGGCCGTCGTCACACTGATTCCCAATCCTGACAAACCAACTGAAGAACTCGCCTCCAACAGACCCATTAGTCTACTTTCTCGCCTATCTATTCCTTACCACCAATTCGGATTTCGATATGAGCAAAGTACGGAACAGTACTTAGCAAAAGTTATCCAATTCATTCATAGAGCCTACGAAAGTTATTAATCCTGTTCCGCCGTCTTCATCGACATCCAAGAAGCCCTCGACAGTGCATGGCATCCAGGCCTATTCTACAACCTCAAACCCATTCTCTCGCCTGCCCTATATACCATCATATGACATTACCTGTTAGAGAGAACCTTCATGTTTGAATGTCACGAAGGAGCCTGATCAACTCCAAAAAACATCTCGGCCGGAGTGCCACAACGCAGTACACTAGGGCGATTCTATATAATATCTATATAGTGGATCTGCCCACCCCAGAGAATGTTCTCACCAACATCCCCCGCAACTCAGCAGCCCTGTTAGCAACTTATGCATACGACACAGTCGTCATATTTGCCACTGAATCAGTCATCATTGCCATCGAACAAGTCAGTATTATGCTAGAGGCCCTAGCAACTTGGACCAATAAAGGGTGTATTAAAATAAATACCAGTACAACAGCACATATTCTCTTCTCCCTAAGAGAAATCTGAACTCAGATTGCCCAGTTATTCACCAGTAATTATGAGCCAAACCATCATCACCAAGGACTCCCACCCCTATCTTGGAGTCAACCTAGACAAGAAATTAAACTTTTGCAAACATGTCGCCTCCCTTGTAACCAAACCCAAAGCCCAAAGAGCCCAACTCGACTGGCTAATAATCAACAACAGCAAACTTACGCTTAATTGCAAAACTCTACTGTACAAACAATCAATAACCCCAATTTGGCATTATGCCCTCCCAATCTGGGGTGCACTCACCAGCGAAACGCAGATAACCAGAGTATCCACCTTACAAAACCACCCTTCGGAAAATATCTAGTACCCCATTACTATCCATGCTACGATTGACGATACATTCGACAAACTAAGCCAAAAGACTAAGTCACCACACAAACATTGAAGCGAAAAAACTGATCACTATCCCATATGGCCCATACCCCGTACCGCCTAGCCAGAAGCCGACCGAGATACCCCCAACTCAACAGTCTTGTCAGACCAATTCAACGCCACTGACGTCGAAATAGTGCTAGCTACAGCACAGAAAATAATGCATCAAACACAAATTCAAGAAACTCACTTTGAATCACGAAAACTAATTCTTCTACTCGATAGAGCATAGCATGTTTATATTGTCTTTGATTCTACCAACTTTTGGGTAACCCGTTGCGTAATTTTGGCCCAATCCTCAACCCATGCAGTTTTTAGATCTAACTTATTAGATATTTTGCGTTTGCGAATGCTTGAATCCAAACCCAAAATGGACCACAAATTTTTGATTACATTTACATTTAGTATGTCTGGTAACTGTGCCGGTAGCTGCAAAACAGATCAACCATGTCTGAAGAATATCCGACGACTTATGTTTCGGGACATTGTCTAGGTACAATCTGAACACATCCCAGATTTTCAGCACTTTCTAATAAATTAGTTTTTCACATCTCCAGATATTGAGATTTGTCAATTGTAGTCTCAATAAGATTCAGATTTCCAAAGACGGTTGTCGACATACAAGCCCAAACCATAACGCTCCCACCGCCATGTTTTACTGTAGCCTTCAAATTTGTTGTTTGCAGCTCTGTAGTTGGCTTACACAATTATACGGCTCCATCGTTTTTAGTTTTTAGCTGTTATAACTGTTATAAAATAATTATAGTTGATGACGTTAAGCATCAGGCTAACAACCTGCGTTTCTAGAACTCTGATATATTTTGTAGTTCAGTTTTTATAGCTTTGCTATGTTTTTTTAATGTACTGGTTGAAATAAGCTTTCAGTCACTGTATGTACATATGTATGCTGTAGATCTCGGGGTTTTGTGGGAAACCATTGAGTATTAAAGAGAAAGAGCAGGCTCTTTTTAGAAATACTTTCTGAGCGAAAACAAGATTGCAAACACAACACCCGGCTGTCTGCAGCTACTTCTGCCGATGCAGCTTCAAAACATTTTCCATTAGAACCAACAACAACCATAATCAAAACAAACGACTCGACAATGAAAAAAGCATACCACAAATACTGTCCTTGCTATCCCTTTTTGTTGGAGGCTACAGCCTATGATCTTGGCTTCTGCACTCTTCTAACTCATTGTTGTGGTTTCTAAGCACTGCTGAGCCTATAATTCGCAGTCATGTCTTCTCTTTTCCACTCGCTTTCAACTTGCAAGCAGATCGACAGATTATTATCATTTTTAATTTGTTCGACCAGCAAGGCACCTTTTCTCAAAATAGGGTATTTTAACTATTTATTACCAATGTAACCAGCACAAACCATCTTATATATACAATTTTATTAAATGTCAATATATACCATTCTTATAAAAGAGTATCAATGCCGCGACCCGCCAAATAGTTGTTTATGTATGTCTCATCTCACACATATTTGCGCAAATCTGCATATATGTATGTATGTCTTTGCCAAAGAAGAAGATTCCAACGTTCTGTTGCGCATGGGATGTCACAGTCCAATGCTTTTTATATGCGATCATTTCGTATTTAAAATGATTACATATGTCAAAAAATAATTAACCGTAAAAGACCCCATTCATAAGATATTTAAATGTACCTAATAAAGGTTAAAATATATACTAAATATACCAAGAAATAAAATTCGATTGAATGTGACATCATAATATATGATGGTGTGCCGTGCGCCCAACCCTTTGATCTGAATGCCATGGCCTGCTGGCATTCAAATTTTCTACCTATTTGAGCCGTCACTCGGCTTTGCAACAACAATTTAGTACCCAAATTGCGTTGTTGCTGTTTCTACGCGCTGCATTGTAGGAACGACAGAGAAACCAGCAGCAAACACAGTGGCATTTTTTGTCCCTTTTCACTGAATTTCCTATGTCCTCATTATGGCTCACAAGACTATTATCGATAAAGTGCGAGCGAGATAAAAGTTAACAGCATTGCCGTTCTATTGCAAAAATCATATGGAAGAGAGTGCGCCGAGCACTTTTCTGTAGAGTAAGCGGTTCAAAAATACATCATATGTATACTCTATACTCCCTTACTCGTGAGTTTGGACCAGATGCCTCCGATACTTTTTGTGCCAACCTTGTTTCTATGTGATGTCCAGTCTATATGTTGTTTGGTTAGTGATACAAGCATACAAGAACAGTTGACAGTTGACAGCATGTGAAAAAAGTGAATAAGTTGACAGCCTGTGAAAAAAGTGAATAATTAAGGATCGGTCACTCTTATTACGCATGGCGATGAATATTTTGTAAATAAGCTTGCAACGAAAATCTATACTTTGATTTATATATATGTGTACATAAACATATAATGACCCAAACTGTAGAATGTTTCAACAAATATATAAAATATTTATTTAATATAAATAACATGTTTGCAAAATATTCATCGTCATGTGTACTGCTACTTATTTTCTTAAGGTGACCTCTTTATGTTAGTATTCTTCATTAGTTGGCAGCCCCTAACACTTTCTATTACCCCGCCGATTATTTGATATTCCAATTTATTATATATAATTCTTATTATTTAAATTAATTACATATATATATATATATTTGTTTTTATAATAAGATAAGAAACAACTCCAAATGGCTTCAGGAATCGCAAAATCCTTGCTTTTGCGTTGTTTTACTTTTAATTTTTATGTTCAAGGGTCCGCGACACTGGCATGCACGTATGAGGAATGCTGTCTACAATTACCATTGCAACTGCGCCTGCGGCATGGTACTGTACCGCACAGCTTGTCGTCGAACAGTGAAAGCACTTACCAAACAACATACAGAGGTGGTCAAAAGTATTTAACTTTAAGTGATTATTTCTGCTGCTTTTGTACTCAGAAATAACGGTAATTGTAGTGTGTCTACATCTATGCAGAATCAATTCAAAGAAAAACTAGAAATTTTAACAGTTCATGGGCTTAAAATTTAAGCACTGAACTGATGCTCATCAGTTGTGAAAAGTATTTACACACATTTTCTTTACGTCAAAATTATTAACACACATTTTATTTCTTTTTTAAATTTTAGTGTTAAATATTCAATTTAGGCAAAATATTTTATAAACTAATGTCTAGTTTCACCGCCCTTGGCTTCAATGACTTCTTGGAGTCTTGCTGGTATGGACAGGACAGCGCGAAGACTCAATAGTTAATTTGGACCAAATTTCCTTTATTTCTGCCACTGTTTTGTCGCACCGCCGATCTCTATCAACAGTCTTCTGACTCTTAACGAATCCCCATACATTTTCGATCATTTTCAGATTTGGGCTTTGTGGTAGCCAGGGAAGTTCTTTAGGTTCTTCGCGAGTTCGACCCTTGTGGCATGGAGCATTTTCCTGCTGTACGATCCAGTTATACGTGGAGAAAATTCTGTTTGCCGAGGTGAATGTGTAATCATATAAGATATGGAGGTATCCAGTTTGATGTAATATACCCTCTATCGGTACCAAGTCTCCAAATCCATAATAGCTCAAACAGCCTCAGAACGTCACCGTGCCACCACCAAACCTGTTCATTGGCTGAACAGGAGGATTACCCTTTAGTTGTTTTGGGAGATGCATAAGTTGCTTGCAACGCAACTTAATCTGTCCATAAAACATTAAACCAGAACTCTAGAGGCTTCTCTTTATACTCCAAAACAATTGCGAGACGCTTTGCTTGTTTGGGTAATGTCAACTACTTTACGATCAACATATAAGTTAATGGTAACTTCCTTCAATCTGCGACGCAGTGTACTATCGCTAATATTTTTTCCAGTTAACATTTTCGAAGCTTCGGCAATTTTAACAGGACTTAAAGTGGGATTGGTTAGTACAACATGTATTTTATGTCTGCATTCTCTTAGGTCCAACACAAGTTTTCGGGCAGTTCTTGTCTTGTTTTCCAAATTTCCGAGTGTGTCCTTTTTAACAAAATTGTACACAGTTTTTCGCAACATCTTGTACAAATCAGCCAATTCAGATGCAGAAGTCCCAGTTTTGAATTAATTTACAATCTCGGCTCGATTCTCAACTGATAGTTCCTTTGTTTTTGCCATATTATTTAAAATGCCTTAATTTCTCTATTAACTTAACTGTTAACAGTTAGATTAAATTCCAATTAAGAGATTAACATCAACTATAACCTCACTTACTCAATGCAAATCAAAGTCTATTTGCATTTGAATTTGCATTGTGTAAATAATTTTGACGCAAAGAAAACTTGTGTTAATACTTTTGAGAACTGATAAGCATCAGATCGCATGCATCTATTTGTAGTCTATGAACATCTATCATTACCAATTCTTCTTTCATTTGCTTCTGCACAGATTGAGAAATGCGACAATAACTGTTATTATTGCATCTGACTTCCAATAACAACAAAAAATGCATTCAAAATCGAGAAGGCGAAATAATTCATGTTGTGTAAATACTTTTGATTACCTCTGTATAGACTGGACAATCAGTCAGATTTTGGAATAATATTTGGAGCTTTAATAACAAATCGTTTTCATGAAATATTCGTTTTTCTTTAAAAGTGTCAACATATAGCCTCTGTCCACTGGACACACGTCTGACACATTTCAGAAAATGTCACATTCTTGACAAATGTGTGAAATGCTCCCTGTGCGTTTCCCCATAAGAAAACACATTTTACGAATTTTTCAAAAAAGGAACATTTGTCAAAAATGTGTAAATTCGCCCCGAGCATTTCGTATTTTTTGCGATGGTATCATAACCATAAACAGCTGATATATCACCAAAGTAAGCGGTTAATTGAAATTATAATTTTAAAGTTGTATTAGCCCACAGTTTTTAACATATTGATGGCCAATTCACGAAAAGATTATACAAAATGGAGCCCCTACGTCGAGGCCATTCTTTTTGATTTATGGGAGGAATATTCAACGCATGGGTGCCAAACTAACCGAAGCTGGCTTCGAAAGTTTATGTTGGCAAAACGTGCGATCTAAAATAGATAATGCAACGCGGAAGTACAAGTACGGATGCTTTGATTTATTTATATTATGTATTATATTAGCTTTTTTATTTTATTAAAAGCATCTGGAGAGGCGCCATCAGGATGGAGCCAGTTTGAGTGGGGACACCGAATTCTTGGGTCAATAAAGTCCATTAATTTTTATACCCTGAACCCATTAAAAATGGGTATAAGGGTATATTGTATTTGTGCGAAATCCAAATGTATGTAACAGGCAGAAGGAAGCATCTCCGACCCCATAAAGTATACATATTCTTGATCAGCATCAATAGCCGAGTCAATCTAGCCATGTCCGTCTGTCTGTCCGTCCGTCCGTCCGTCCGTATGTATGAACGCAAGGATCTCAGAACCTATAAGAGCTAGAGACTTAAAATTATAGATTTAGATGCTCCTAGTTCCCGCGCAGATCGAGTTTGTTTCCGATAATCGATAACTTACTCCGTTTCCAAGCAATCGATAAAAATCGATACCGATATCCTGTTTTTTGGGCAATTTTGGTAAATAATAAGAGCTAGAGTCACCAAACTTGACATATAGCTTCTAAAATAGAATATATATATGCATTTGATGTTGGAAGAAGAGGGTTCAGGGTATACCCTAGTCGGGAGCTTCCGACTAGAACCTCTTACTTGTTAGTAGTGCAACAGAGTACAGGTAAATTATATTTGTATTTCAAATTTTAAACCAAAATGGAATACGTCCCTTAAGAACATTTTCTAATGACAGATGAGCCAATTTTTCTTAAAGAAGTGGAGAGCAGCCATCGCACTCATCGCGCTCTCCATCCAGAGCTTCATGCAACCAGGAAAGCGAAGCTCCTCCCTCCACCACCCCACATTCTGTAAAGAGGCGCAAGCTTCTGAAGTCAGACATGACCCCATTTGAAGCGGCCGTGGTGGCAGCCCTGAGGGAACATACACATGAAATGACAAAAAAAAGCCAATGCACGGTTGGCAGTTCTTGAGCGAATGCAGAAGTCCATTTCCAAATAGTTTATATTTAAAATACTTTAAATATAAAATAGTTAAAATAGTTCGAATATAACAAATTTTAAAATAGTTTAAAAATAAAATAGTTAAATTAGTTTAAATATAAAATAGTTTAAATTAAAAATAGTTTAAATAGTTTATATTTGAAATAGTTAAAATAGTTTAAAATAGAATTAAGATAAAATGTGAACAATGCAAAGACTACAAAAAAATTGTTTTATTTATTAGGTTGTCGCTGTAAAAGTAGTTTCAGCCTGCCTAATACTTTCTGCAGTGCCATTAAAATCATTCGTGGCGTTGGCATGCATAGGCTGCACACGAATACTTTCCAGCACCTCCCATACGTCCAAAATGTCACTATGTTCGCAATTTAAAAAGTTGTGCAAAATGCAACTGGCCAAGACTATATTGGTAGTTTTGTCGCAGCGATTATCCAATCCCTTACCAATCCTGCGGAAACGTGCCATTAACTGGGCAAAAGCATTTTCAACAACTCGTCTTGCCCTTGATAGAGCATAGTTGAATGCCTTCTGCTGCTCTGGCGCAGAAACACAAAATGGATAGGGCTTCATAAGGTTTGTGCTGAAACGGAATGCCGAATCGCCAAGCAATTCCAATGGTACGTCGACTTCAGCCAATTTTTTTACTTTCGCCTGAAAAACCTGACCCACTGACATTCACATAAAGAAATTTGTAACTAGATACAAAAGTACGAAAATTGGTATTGAAGCAATTTTATCTTTAATTACCGATAATCCATCAGAACCACCCTTTGCAGTTGTATTAGTCAATGGGCTCGGTGGCAGTTGGATGAATTTCTATGTGACTTCCATCTATAGAGAATGTTATAATCTGCTTAACGAAAAATTTAAAAACTTCATACCAATCGCACCAAAGCACTGGGGGAAACCAATCTCCTCAAATCCCCGGATACATTCCTCTACTTTCTCTTCGGTTAAAAATTGACGCGGCAGGTATTCGGGTGCAAGACCTCGTTACACTTTCTTGCAAATTCATGCAATATTTTTTCAACCATCGATGTTGATATCCCGAACAATCTTCCCACTGTACGGTAGTCAGCTGACGAGCCCAGCGTGTGAGTGCAATGGCAATGCGTTTTTCAAGAGGGATAGCTTTTCGGAAATTGGTATCATGCTTTGTTATGAAGTTATGAAGACGAGTAACTAAGGTGCGTAACGAAATTATACGAAACTTTTTATTTCTTAACTTTTTTTTGTTTGAGTAATCTTAGAAGTATAGTAATGCTTTATTTTCGAAAATGTATATGAAAGCAACATTATATAATAACATAGGCATTTAAATGTTCATAGGTTTTAAAATATTTGAAAAAATAAGAAAAATTACACTTTTCGAGTGTAACGATATTATACGAAAACTTGTCTTTTTAGCTTATAAAACCATAAATCGTTGAGATAATGGCTTAAAAAAAAATTTGTACATTAAATAGGGCCTCCTTGTTATTTTCCTACATTGAATAACCTTCTTTTCATTGAGTTTATTAAATTTGCTAAAAGGGTTTGATCCAATTTTGCCCATTCTCTTAAAATCCTCCTTCTTAGTTCAGTAACACTATCAAATTTCTTATTTTCGGCGTAAACACGACGTACAAGAATTCCCCAGAGTGAAAATGTAAGGACTTTCCCTGTTATCCTGTAGGAAGGGTAGGAGAGTGTTGTCCAACACTTCCACATAATCTACGCTTGTCATTCTTGAAGTAACAAAGCGGAGTTCAAGGGTGCTACACTTGGTAAATGCACCCCATACCATAACAGAACCACCTCCAAAATTCCGTTTTGAAAATACGAGGGGTTCCTTGCGCAAATCGTGCCAATAGCCGCGAAATCCATCTGGACCATCTAAATTAAACTTTTTCTCATCCGAAAAAATAACCTTTTTAAGAAAAAAATATTTAAAAATCTTATGTTGCATGTGTTGCATCTGCATGTTGCATGCAACATTACAAGACAACGATTCCTTACCAAGTCCCAGCACGTATCAAGGTTTTTAAAAGCGAATTCAAGTCGTGCTGCCCTTTGGTGATTTTTGAGAGTTGGCTGCTTCTTCATTACTCCTCGCACTATATGTTTGGATGTTTTTAAAGTACGCCAAACGCACATTGGTGACACTGGAATGCTGCTGTATGCAGCAAGTTGACGACACGACAAGGTCGAATTACTTGCTTTTTTCAAAATTTGACGCTTGTTACGGCCAGACAGTTTGGATTTTCTTCCAGCATTATTATTTCTGCCGTATCCTTCCTCATTTTGTAAAAAATTATTGATTACGCAGCATGTTCGACCAATTAATTTCCCAATTTGGTTAATTAATAAGCCAGAGGCTTTAAAAGCGAGAATTTTCCCTTTTTCCTCTTCAGTCAAACGCGTTCCTCGTGGCATTTCAATGATTTTTTAAATAAAATTGATAAAATTCAAAACTACAAATCAAACAAAGTTGATACGCACGCCTAAAGATCAGTTTTTCGATTGTTTCGTATAATTTCGTTACAATAAAATTTCAGCAAAACAACGGCTTTTAGAAGCAAACCTAACGGGACATTTCCAGCATAGGCTAAATATAGAATGTAACGTTTCTCTATTGCACATTATGCTTTGAATTCTCATTTTATTCCATCGTGCGAGTTGATTTAACAACATTTTCGATTTGTCGAGTGTTTGAAGTAATATTTTGATAGTTTCGTATAATTTCGTTACGAACCTTAGTATATCACAATGTATTCTTTCTTTCGTATTTTTCTATTAATAAAGGAATATATCACTATTTTCAGAATTAAAAATTGCCAGGCAATTCGCGACTCGCGTTTTGTCATTTTTATTATCTGTATTATGTCGTCTTCATATTCAGCCATCAACTCGTCAAACTCTTCTTCCCACTCTAATATTTTGGTCATTATAGTTTTCTTTGGGTTATTACACATTGTTAATGAAATATAATTAATATTTTTTGTATGTTACCGACAACCGGTGGAACACCAATATGTGAAATTTGAAAATGTGACATTTCTTAAACCAGTGGACAGAGGCCAATATTCTAACTTCGACAACCTTTCAGAGATGCCACAAGCAACATGCATACAACATGTTGTTTGGGGACAATACATTACTAAATTAGTTTTAAAATGCCTATATATACATTTATAAATACATACATTTTTATTCAATGTCTATGAAAAGTATAATATCGTATTTAGTGTGCAACTATTGGTACAATTATTATTAACTTTTTGCTTGAAACATTATATACCATTTCTATAAATAAGGGTATCAATGCTGCGCTGTGCCTAATAGCTGTTGTATATGTGTCTCACCTCACATATACTGGTGTAAATCTGCATATATGTGAACTTAAAAGGATTGCAATATTATGTTGCGCATGTGACGTCACAGCCTAAGGCCTTTTGCGTGCGATCATTTCGTATTTAAAAATGTCATTCAATTATATACTATAAAGGACCCTATTCATAAATTATTTAAATGAACCTAATAAAGGTTAAAATATATACTAAATATACCAAGAAATAAAATTCGATTGAATGTGACGTCATAATATATGATGGTGTGCCGTGCGCCCAACCCTTTGATCTGAATGCCATGGCCTGCTGGCATTCAAATTTTCTACCTACTTGAGCCGTCACTCGGCTTTGCAACAACAATTTAGTACCCAAATTGCGTTGTTGCTGTTTCTACGCGCTGCCTTCTAGGAACGACAGTAAAACAAGCAGCAAACACAGTGGCATTGTATGTCGCTTTTCTTTGCACTTGTTTTTCTACGTCCTAAAATCTTGCTTTAGAATTTCATTGATCAAAACGGTGGTCGAAGGAAAAATGGTGTTTCGTGGGCCCTGTTGTTGTTTTGCTAGTAATTTGTTTTGCTTCCTGGTATTAGGTATTCAGGGTATTCCACTATGTTAATGCAAAGAAACAAGCTGGCAATATTATATTTCACACTGTAAAATTGCTACATACACTACACAATTGTGTGTGTGTGTTTAGCGCCCGAAATACAGAAATCACAAACACTTCAAGTCTTGTTAAATTTGCATCTTGTTGCTTGCCTGCCTGCCTGTCCCCGATGCAAATTTAACA